GATACATAGTCATTGTATTATTATGTGAAAACAATTTTCACATCTTTTCATATAAAAGTATATTTTACTTAGTTAATTTCTTCTATAATAACAAGGTCTTGAATAATACTATGAGAAAACTGTGTTTGATCACAGAATAAAAATCATTGCATAACTGATGCTTTATCTGGATCGATCATTCCTGCCCAAAACTTCAGCTGCTTGTGAAGGGAGTTCTTCATTTCTGTCAATTTCCCTTCCCTTCATTTCTCACCTCTATTACAGATCAGATCCAGATGGACTTCTATATCATGTTTCTGTTTTTCATTGTTATCTTTCCTTGCACAATTTGCTTCCATGGTTCCCGATCCTGCCTCTTCATTCACTGGGACCTTTACTCAAAACTTGATTTTTCCCCTTCTACCCTAACAGGTTGGATTTGTCTTTTCCAGGACATCCTTTGGAAGAGGTTCTTTGGTCAGGCATGTAGACTACCACTCATACATTCATCTCCCACACCCTGGGATGTCATATCAAAGTTGTATTCAAGTGGAGGCTGATCCCCTACATCTTGATGTATGGCCGGTAATGTACACTGTTGAGATGGGGTGTTCCACAAGATTGCTAGTATGTTTTCCTTGTAGTATTTTGCTTCAACAAAATGGCTATTCCAGACTGTACTAACCCATGGACTTGAATTGGTAAAGCAGAAGGGAATTGCTGCCAATCCTTGCCAATTTCTTTGTTGAATAAATCAAGGATAGCTTGCTTTTAAAAATAGGGATTTCATGGTCACCCATTGCACTGTCTCTGGTGTGTGCAGTTCTCCAGATTCCCCACTGTGCTCCCCCCTTTATTCTAGTGGATTATACGAGTTCTTGCCACATACCAGTTCCTAGCTGCTGGGGTGGTGGACCATGGAGGCAACTCCCTGTATGTGCTCAATTCCACTCAGTAGTAAGTAGGATGGTGGCATTCTGCTTGTGTAGATGGCATAGATCCACCACCTGAATCACACTTGTATAATAAAAGCAAGAGAGTAGATCCACCACATTGCAGTTCATTTCTCCGTTTGGGATCCTTTATCCTATCACTGACTGGATGTTATTTCCAAGTGAGTGGGACCAATCAACATAAGTCCTCACACGTGTTGGTTGTGATTTCACATCCTACTTCAATCACAGGATTTTACCTCATGTTTTCCACCTCTATGCTGTGGGTCCCAAAGGTTGATTTTGTGTGGATCTAGATTTATTTGTCCCAAGTCTGTGGTTGCTCAAGGAGTTGGCTGATCATCCATGTGCTCCAGCTTCTGTTTAGTCCTATCCTTGGGGCCAATGTAGTTCCTCTGGCACTCCACCTCAGTGAGGCTCATTCCCAGAGGCTGAAGTTAAACATAATGGAACCGGTTCAATTGGTTTTGAATTTGAAGTGAACTGCCATAATGGCATGTACATTTCTACTATTATTTGGATGTTGGGTTCCTGGATGGCTAGGCTAGGTTGGTTGTGGTTTTGCACAAATGTGCCCTGTTTAGTTGCCTGGTATGGAATTTTCTTCTGTTCTACTCAACATGAGATGAAGACAGTGTGGACCCTCCTCCTATCATGAGTTGGAAGATGTTTGCCCAGTGCCGCTTGGTTTTAGACTGGAGTTGACCTACCAAGTAAGATATGTTGTGCCTATCCACACCAGGGGACACATCCATTTTAGCTTTCCTCACCATCTGGTCTGTGGTTGGGGGCTCTACTTTCATTCTTCTCCTGAATTATAATTTTGGAGATTTCAGTAAGATGTGGGGTCAGACCACCCCCAATTTTCTCTCTTATTTATTGGATGTGCTCCTCACACTTTCCAGCCATTTATGTGACACTTACTATCACACTGGACAGAGTATACCTGGTACAGAAGTGGTCTGTTGTCCCACATGTGTTCCTCTCCCAATAGGGGCTCACATGCCATGGATGTTAGGATGCTTATCTATATCCCTCACACTGATCCCTCCACCTTTTCAATCTAGTATTCTACTTATTATGTGAGAGGAGGTAAGGTACTGTATTGGAAGTTATTATTTTCCTACACTGAAAATTTATTTCCCGACAGGTACTTACCTCCTCCCACCCTTCCTCCCCACTACTAGTGCTTAATCTCTGCCTTATCTTGAAATGATGGTTAGGTAGAATAGAATAGAGGGAGTAACGTGTCACACTCCTGTTGGTAGATGGTTGTCACATAATAATTTACATGCAAAGATATGTTGAACAACATTGGTTGTTGGGTACCGGGAGTTTCAAGGCTAGTAGCATGTGAAAACATTTTGCATATATTGGGCATATATTTTCAGTGTAGGAAAATAATAACTTTAAAGATTTTCCTAATTCCATTTTCTGCAGAAACACTTCAGAAATAATTAACAGTATTTCTGACATATGGTCTTCATCAGTTTCAGCCTAAAATTCATTCACTTGTTCTTTTGTTCTTATTAGTTTTTTATTTCATATCTAAAATGATTAAAATTCTTAAAAATCTGATTTGTAATCTTACTTATCATACCCTGTGATGAGTGATACAAATAGCATCACCAATGATAACAAATAGGATTATTCAGAACAATAACTGATTTTAATGCCATTTAAATGTGAGTATATGGTATTGTGCAATAAAAGTTACAGGACAAACAATGTGTTGAAATACAAAGGTTTTACTGACATACAATGTTTCCATTGCTTTGAAAAGTTCTTTGTTAGGTGGAACTGAGAAACGTTTTGCAAATCATGGAATGCAATTGTGTAAATAAACCATCAAATATACAACATTGTTAATTCATGCAACAATAAGAAAGTGCTCTCAGTAACAATATGAATGTGAAAGTTTTCTATGTTGTCATGGTTACATTTTGTCTTATTTGTTCAGCAGCAAGTCAGGTACTATTGGCATGTTGGAATAATATATTCATTACATATTATTTGGTTTAGATTATAGTCTAATGTAATTTTTAGCTCCGAACAAAGCACAGTATTTGGGAGAAAGATGCAATGTATTATCACTTGTAGTTAAACTTAAATTGGGAAAAGTTGAAGTTTACTTATGGGTCTGAAAAGGATGAATTTATTAGTGCTTTGTTCAGTAATGCACAGTCATTTAAAATATCTTTTAATGGCTTGTTTCATACTCTTCTTTTTCTTGTATGTTTTTTCAATAATTCAGATGCTACTGTTATTTCTAGATAATTTGTGCAGCTGTTACTGCATTATGTATAAAGTATAATAAGATACGAGATATTTAGTTTTTGTGGTGTTTATTTTCTGTTAAATTCAGTAAAATTAGATCCTTGAAAATGACAGTTTGGTCCTGTAATTTATTTTCTGTTAGTCTGTGTGAAACATGCTTAATTGCTGTCCTTCCCTCCAAAAGGAAGTCTTATTCTTGCTCTTCTTAAATGAAAGCTGTGACATTCAATCATTCCAATGACATATTGTAATTTTGCCAAGATATGTTTCAGGTCTTTATCAGATCCAATTGAGAAAATCCTATTATCTTGAAGGTAATCCATACATATGGAGTGAAACATTCACATGTAGTTTAAAAATACATTATATAGAACACTATACATGTTTTTATAATTTAAGTAAAGAAATTTAAATTTTTTTATGTATATGTATTTGATGCTGTTTGTGATATTCATATTTATAGTAAGCTTGCATTGTAGAAACACCTTATTGAAGCCAATTATAAGAACTACAGCTAACTTAGGTAAAACGAAGCTTTATTTAACAATCACTGTTCCAAGCAAGTTATCAGTAGTCACAGTCACATTTGTTCTAACATAACATTTTTGATTCATTAAATATGATAATGAATAAACCACAAAATATATCAAAGAAACAGTTTGATTGGAAAACAAACACAGACCTTCAAATATAACAAATTTCACTACCACAAATCATGTAATAATAAATAATACATTGTAAATCTTAATACTAAACCCAAAGTAATATAAGGAGGGGTAGTGCAGCTATGAAAAGGTATCCGTTAACTAAACATTTTTCTTGATGTTTGTATCATAAACATAATAATTTTCATTTCAAAATCAATGTCTAGTGTTATTTTTGTTTACTAGTTGATGGTACTCAGTTTCTAAAATTAGAATTATTAGTGTTAGTGAATATTTGAATTGTGTATTTTCCAAGGTTTAGTACTACCTTCAAATTCCTAGCTAGCAAACGAACCTTCAAACACAGCTCTCACTGTGGAAGTTTCAATTTCAACTCTTGTCTTTTCATTTCTGTGTAGGCTCAGCAGTTTTTGTTATGAATTGCAACATAGCATCTGTGCATTTGTTTTGACAAAACTGATGTTAGAGTGAAAACTTGTAAAAATAATCTGGCATCCTGTTCTCATTAAACTATAATGATTCTTTTCACCTTCTTTCACTAATTGATGTACTTAGATTTAGGAATGCTTAAGCAATTGTAAAGAATGATTAAAAGCAATATTTAATATTGTAAGAAACTGAGGAACAATCATTTGATATTGCAAAAGCACTCTTCAAAGTGGTTAAAAGAGAAAAGTTGAGAAATCAGTATCTTATTTATTTACTTGTTTGGGTTACTTATGAAATTGTAAATAAATATATATATGTATTATAATCTATTTTTAAACTTGAATTAAATTTTTAAGTTACTCAAATTTATAACTGAATGAAGAAAATGTTTCTTTATATTGCAGATGAATATAAAGTTCCAAGGAAGTACATTAAAGGCCTAGACAGTGCACCTAAAGAGAAAAAGAAATAATGTTTCCTAAATAATACTGTCATAAAATAAAATACATGAATAAAATCTATAAACTACTGATGGAGGATATAGCTTTATAATAAAATAAAGCTGGGACAAAATTCCTGGAGATTCTTATCATTATAATAGTTGCTTTCTGTAGTTACGTTCACTTTTTCTTCAAACATAATATTTTTATGTTTTTATTTGTAAAATTTTTGTTTTAGAAATATCTTGTCTAATTACTGATCATTTTTGATCATTTTCTATTGCAGGTTAGTTTTAACATTAATGGAAGTTAAAACACAATACCAGATCTGTTTTCTTGTTTAAATAATCAAAGTAAAAAATATTGATTAAAAAAAAGAAATCAAATAACACTTGCTACTTGAGAAAACACAAGTGATTCAAGGTAATTTGATGGTGCTGATTTCAAAAATGTAGTCCAAAGTTATCCATCACCTCTAGATTTTGAGTTATTGTAATATCTTAATATTTTATCAGCACCACGTGAAATACCATGCAATTGATTCAGTATAATTGATATACGTTGTGAGATTTAGTTTACTTGGACATTTTAATAGGTAAGAGGCACACATTTTTGATAACTTCAAACACTGACTGTATTGTATTAGTGTAAAATTCCAAATATATTGTTAATATATGCTATTTGTTTTTGATATAATTGTAGCGAATTGTACCACTTTTGCTTCATTCACATGCTCATCTGCTCCGCCTAAAAATCGTGAAACCCTCATGTGCTTAGTTTACTAGAACAATCAAGAAGTCCCTCTACTGAGCATAAAAGGGACGGAACCAGATGCCTCACTCACTCAGTTGGTCACTTTGCATACGTTCAAAACAAAGTCTGATCTTCTTCCTTGCATTACACTTGTGATATAATCAAATTCTGCAAAACTTTTTTTATAATCTTTTTAAACTCTTGTTCAGTAAACACAAGTTCTTTTATATTTTTTAGAAAATCAATTAAAATGCTGGCTTCCTGCAGTTCAAGTCAGGTCCAAATGCACAAAAATTATCCAAACAGTTTTTGCTACAGTTGTGGAAAATATATAACAGTTTCACAAAAGAAAACATCACATACAAGATAAAGGTAGCTTACTACCATGGACACCTGTAGGAAGGGGCAAGAATGGACATTTATCCCCATTCCTCTTAAATTTCACAAAAAATTACACTAAATATTTTTATTAAAACTGTAAATTTTTGTTTGCATGTTATTTTTGCATGACTAATGTTTCTGGATATTCAGGCAAAACTAAACAATACATTAAATATCCAGATAATGCATATGTAATGAAATCAACACCTCATGAGGATGGTCTTCCAGTGCCACATCCACCAGCAAATTGGGAAACGAAGAGTTATCCTGTAAATAACACAATAAACCATCTTGACTCTTTTCATCTAGTAATTATATTCCTGTGGCACCTCAACATAAACTGCTTCATTTGATCATGCAAGAAGAGCCAAATGATCTGATTCATGAACTGTCTCTATCAAAGCAGCATGGGGTATTTTTTGCCTCTCGTTTACAGCAATGTCAGTTATTACCTCTAGGAACAAGAGTTTCAATTTACTGAAGTTGCCATTAAAGTCTTGCTTCCCAATACAGCATGCAAGATATTTTGTGTTTCTGTACAAATGTTAATGCATTAATGGGAGAATTAGTGAACATCCTCCTCAAGAATGGAGATTTTTATTGACTCATCTAAACTTAGTCTGAAAGTTATGCATTTGTACAATGGGAACACTAAGCCATCGATTCCTGTAGCTCATGCTGTGAACATGAAAGAAACCTATCAAAGCATGCAGATTATACTTGAGGCCATGAAATATGCTCACCATAGGTGGAACATGTGTGATGATCTCAAAGTTATTGCACTCCTGCTAGTCCTGCAGAGTGGGTATATCAAACATTGTTGCTTTTTGTGTCTCTGGGGCACCTGAGATGATAAAAATTGGTTCAGAAAGAAAGAATGGCCAATGAGAAAGAATTGCATATCAGGGAAACAGAATATTGAGTATCAACCTTTAGTGAATTCCCAAAATGTGTTTCTGCCCCCACTTCATATTGAACTGGGACTTGTGAAGAATTTTGTAAAGGAATAAACAAAGATGGTACTAGTTTCAGATATCTGTCTGACAAGTTTACAATAATCAGTAAAGCAGAAATGAAAGGAGATATCTTTGCTGGGCCACAGATTCAAGAGGTGCTGATCAATGATGATTTTGAAATAGTACTCAATCTGAAAGAACTTGCTGCCTGGAAATCATTCAAACTGGTTTTCAAAAATTTATTAGGAAATTAAAGGGATGAAAACTTTGCTGTGATGATGGAAGATACACTTGAACGCTACAGGAAAACATGGTCTAGGATGTCACTAAAAATCTACTTCTTACACTCCCACTTATACTAGACGCAGTGAGTGATGAGTATGGTGAGAGCTCCCACCAAGATATTTCTACAATGGAACAGCGATATCAAGGACAAAGGAATCCTGTTATGATGTGAGATTACTGTTGGTTCTTACAGCATGAAACTAAGAAAATACACAAAAAAATATACCGTGATGAAAGTTTTGAACATGGCCTAAATGTATTTTCAGTATATAATTTTATGATAATCATTGCTTTTTTAAATTGGTATTGCTATTGTATATTGTTTTTGAACATTATTAAATGCAATTCTCAATGAATAAATAAAGTTATTAAAGAAAAAATTATTTTTCACGAGAAGTAAGAATATTTTGAATAAATCAAGCATAACTTAAAAACTAGAGAATGTCAGTAATTTTCAACATGATTTTTAGAATCAATATCATCAAATTACTCTGTAACAGTTGCATATTTGCTAGTACAGAGAAAAACTTTTTTGTTGTTGCCTGGTGTAATAGTTAGTTAACTTTTTTGTGATTGTCCACCATTCATCAGAAATTTTTATAAATAAGCAAAATTTGCAGAAGTTTCACTTTGGCATTGAAGTGAAATTTCAAACTAATAGGAGAATAGGTCAAAATGAGTACAATGTTATTTCAAAACAGGCATGATACTACTGTGATGTGACCACCTTTAAAATTATTTTATACTGGTTAAGTATAAATCCTTAAATCTTGTCCTGATGATATAGTATAAGCCTTTAATTTGCATGATAGTTACAGTATTTTAAATTAAATCTACAAAATACTCCTTTGCACTTGTTTTATACCACATATATAAAGATTTTACTTAAATGTCAAGCAATATTCCTGTGAAAAACTTTGCTACAATTGCTGAACCTTAAAATAAGTCACGAAGAAAGTGTATCGAGTGGAAATGGACCTCCAGTGTGAGGATGCATTTCAGAAATTAAAGCAGGCTTTATGTGGATTTCCTGTTTTCCAACTTCCAATAAAAAGTGTACGGTATTTTTTGCATACTGATGCTTCAAAAAGGTGCCATACCATATGCTAGTAGAACGCTGCAGAAAGAAACTACGCTACTACAGAGATAGAAAAATGTAAGGTATCCCTAGATGAAGAAGAATTTACAGTTATAAATGACCATGCTGCCTTGAAATGGTTACAGACAGTTCGGAAGTTAATTGCTAGATTGATGCGTTGGTCACTAAAGTTACAAGACTTAACATTTGAAATACTGCACGGGAAAGAGAACCAGTTCCCTGATTCCCTATCTACGCATCCTATTGACCCCCTCCCCCAGAAGAAACTCCAGATTTGGACATTAGTAAACTATTTACTAAACTTTTTGCCATTGTCTATAGAACAATTGCTACTGAACAAGCTAAAGATGATCAATATAAGCACATATATATATATATATATATACTCTCGTTTGAAAACTGTATTGTTACCACACAATTCTAATATAATTACAGACTGTGAGTAAATCCAAACACTATATCTTCAATTATAATGCTCTTCGTTACACAAAAAGGGTTGCTAGCAATGGTGAATTCAGACGAGTTATTCCCAAAACATTGAGTCTGTCAATGTAAATTGAATTGCATTTTTTTTTCTTCTCAATGTTTCTTTCAACTTTCCTTATAAATAAGGCAAATTTTCACGTTTTGTGTTTTTTGGATACTTTCACAGCTAACATTCGTTTTTCGATACCTACCTTTCATTTCAGTTGTTTTTATATGACTTGGTGCATTATCTACAGTAAGCTATCGTTTTACGTGTTTTGATATTTTACTGTTTGTTTCGGATCACCATTTATCTAAAGTATTTGTCAGAACATAATAGGTGATGCTCCTTACACAACTGTTAAAAACACTCGAAACACGATATACCTTTGACCGACTTCTCAATTTTAGCTCTCAATACTACAGTAAGTATCGATTTTCTTTTCCCTCAGAGTTAATTATCTTTTTATTTTCAATGTTAATTTGAACTTTCTCTATAATTCAGGTACATTTTGTGTCTATTCGGTTACTTTCACAAATATCGTTCAATTTTAGTATTTTCGATACCTATCTCTCATTCCAGTTGTTTTTATATAACCTGGTGTATTATCTACAGTAAGCTATCGTTTTATGTGTTTTTCTTGTTTTACTGTTTGTTTGGGATCACTATTTATGTAATGCATTTATAAGAACGTCATTTGTGATAGTGTTTACACAACTGATAGAAACAAATATATTGTTACGTCTCCGTTCGTTCGATAATTTTCCGTAAATTCGTTCCGACGAAACTTTAGCGACACAATTCCTTTCTTAATAAAACTGGTTTATTCTTTCCGAATACAACTTTACGATTCACTTAATTTCAACAGTCGCTCTATAACAACACTATAACTCACGTCTCACGTGGCCAACAATATTCTGTCCGCATACATTCAATTACTCATTACCTTCTTCCGTCACGTTGTGAGCGTCTTATATATACCAGCCTACCACCAATCTAGTAGTCTCCCGATAATTCATGAAGGTTCGAGAAGGACGTGGCGTGATACTTGTCACGTGACCTCGCTGACGCAACACTGCTCCTCCTTAGTATTGTTCGGGACGAACAATAGCCACTTACATTAAACTAATAACAATAACTTAATAAAATGTACAAAATTACAATTCAACAAAGTCTCTTAATTTTACGGGACGTATCTTCTTCCGTACTGGTCTCTGT